CGAGCCACGTTTCACACAGGACAATTTGGTAGAAGATCACCTTGCGGCAAGGAGTCAAACGACGGCTTTCCCTGGAAATCACAGATACATCAGGCAATAACTGACCATCATCAAGTCTGATTGGATACTCGCCATAGTGAGTGGGTTGGAAGACCCCCTCTCCACATCCGACATCAGGTCCGGAACGACTATGATGAACAAAGGCTGCTGATGGCAGGACTGAGACGGAGGGATTTGGGGCTTTTGTGGGGCTTTCTACGGTTCCCAGGATTGGGAGTTACAGAGACATCATCACAATGACTAACATATTCCGAATTGCTGAAAATTTGATCGGCATCAGGCAGTGAATAGTCAATATATTGATTGTACTTGCCAGTAGAGGCAAGGTGAAAGACTCCTGATTCATATCCAGCCACAGGTCCAGGACGACTATGCTGAACGCTGGCAGGAATCGATACGACTGGGCTGGAGGAACCAAGAGCTTCCAAAGAGCGGTCTATTGTGCGTCCCGGAGATGAATTAAGATTTTTCGAACAGTAAAGCGGATGTTGTGAATGGGCAGTATCAGAAGTGCTTCTCAACTGGAAACAGCCGGCAGATGCTTGAGGCGTTGCACTGGAACACGGATGCTGATCAGGAAAATTACTGTAACTAATGTACATATGCATACTTGCCTGAAGACGATGGTTGGGAGACCCCACCATCGAACTCAACCTCAGGTCCAGAACGACGCTGATGGCAGGAAATAGAACGACTTTGATGGCGGGAAACAGCTAGCGCGACTGGATCGAGTGATTCGAGGTCTTCCATAATGCGACAGGCAGTGCGATCTGGTTTACAGCGTTCCAGTTCACAACGCGGCATCCAATTCTGAATCAGCATACTGGGTCTAGTCCGGAGATGGGAGTTGAGAACTCGGAAGTTCCCGGAACAGGAGAGATCATGATGGCAGGCGTGTTCAAACGAGGCATCTACATGTTTTTTTAACCATCTTCAAATTCATGGAACACAATTCATGATGATCCAGGTAATGCCTTTACATTCAGTAGATTCATGATTAATCATTATTATAGTTACCATACCTACTCGGCGAAATATTTATCACCACTTGTTTCTGGCTGTGTTACGTCCCGTCCTCTCTGTGACGGCACATTTTTAAACACTTCCACAATTTTTCAAATTCGGAAAAATCAAAAACAGGAGTGGAAATCGACCCTAGCCACCTTCAGCATGGTCTAGCTTTATAGCTGTGGCTTAATCGAGTGGGCTAAGTCAATGACATTCAAATAATAAATTATTAATCAAAATGGACACCGTGAGAACGGCTTCAGATTTAGATAGACCTTTAGATTTGGTATCAACGGTCATTATTCGAGAGTTGCCAAGCATTTAAAATATGTAATGTAACGACTCGGTTGCACAAGTTCCTTAAACTGGCTACATTGGTGTGAGCGATTGATGTTTGGTGTGTGAGTTGTTTAGGAGTGACCGCGGATGTGTGAGTAAGTTGCGTGTTGGTCCAAGCCCCAATGTAACTGAAAGCATAGCCAGTGTGTTCTGAACCGTCGTCAAGTAAACGGAAATATATCCTTTAAATTTGTCGAACCTCTTAACAGAATCCCTTTATGAAGAGCTTTGAGTGGGTTGGTTTATTTCCTTTAAATTCCGTTATAATTGCTTATCTTTTGACAGATACGCGTATTTCAGTGCCAAGTGGTGTTGAGTACTTGGTACTGATGAAGTCTGAAAGTAGTTGAAGAAATACGCGTATATGTCAAAAGATAAGCAATTATAACAGGATTTAAAGGAAATAAACCAACCCATTCAAAGCTCTTCGGAAAATATAGTTTTACCGTTGAACTAAATCTGTGTTTCGAAAAAGGAATCCGAAAACGAAAAATCGAAAAATCCCTTCCGTTGTTTAGTTTTACAGTATGAATGAATGTCTTCACGGAGGAAGGTGGTTCTACATTCTCTATAAAACGATCTGCGTAGCTATGGACAGACCCAAAGCAACTGCCAGTTCATCAGCCAGTTTCATATACCGGAAGAGAACTAATATACCGGTCGGTTCTGGAATTTTATACGGGATCGACGGTAAACATGCTCTCGTGGGTGAACAGGATTACCGGATTTTTTCGCTTAAGGAAGTTCAAGATTTTCTTGCATCGTTCGACTCGTAGCTCCCGGATGCGGTTGGTAATCATGTTAGTTTTTTTCCGTGCCCTCGACTTCGCCCCGCAATCTTCCTTTACGATCTTCCGTGCCGTAAAGTCACTGATCCCGTGTTCCTTTGCGATTTTGCTTATTGAACGCACTGGATTCACCCGAATCTTCCTTTTGATAGCAGCGATAACCCTCGGAACCCGAGCTGAACTCGGACGACCTGTGGCCACCTTCGCGGTCTAAAACCCTTTTGACGGTCCACCGGGACACTCCCACGGCGCTTGAAATGTCTTTTTGCGACATTTGCGCTTGGGACAAATCACGAATACGCTGCCACTTTGTCATGGTGCAACTGTCAAACTAAGTAAATCATTTTATTTTATACACAGCCTACTACGGTATGAGCTATAGGTTACGTGCATGCAAAGAAAACCAAGGCATTGTATGCACAGGTGAAACGGGAACCTTATGTGTACGATGGTGCAAACATTATCACGCATACGGTATAAAAATATGTATAGGGTAAACACACCTATACTGGAGGTACGTTAGTGCAATGAGATCCTATAGTGGCTTATGGAGACTCCATAGGAACACATTGCACGAACGCATCTCCACTATAGGTGGGTTTACCATTTATACCATTTACCATTAAATAATTAATAATTAACATAACTTCAAAGGAAAATTCCAATGGTAAATGGTATTTACCATGTTAGATTGCATAAATCGTGGATAGCTGGCAACCGCTCTCGATCTTTCCTTTATCTTCCTATATTTCCTGTTCACGTGGTTTCTGGTGCTCCAGGATGAATTCTGAGGAGAACTACAATGGACTATTGTGGAGAGTTTAAGGAGAATTGTGAGTAATATTTATGCGAGTTCTGAAGATGCTTTCTATAGAATTTGGTGTAGAATTAGAATTCCTCCATGGGATTGAAATTCTTAGGTTATGTTCAAAGAAATTTCCAGGAGAATGCTAAACAAATTTTTAAAGAGATTTCTTAAGCATGTTTCCATTATTATTATGAGAAGAGATCTAATGAAAATCTGAAATTATTCCCAATGGAATTTTATTTTGAGGATTATTTTAGGGGAATTTTGAGAAGAGTTTCAAAGGAATTCTAAGGAGTTTTCTAGAAGAATCTCAAGAGAATCCAATACACATTTTAGCTGATCAAAAGCTAAATTTTGGTTGAACAAGCTACTATTCAGGCCTCAATATTAGTTGGGAATTTCCAAGATAATTCTGAGATGAATGTCATGGGAATTCTGAGAAAAAAAATCTAATTTATTATAAACCTAATCTGCTCAAACTAGCTAAAATGTATTCTGTCTATTCGTATTGCTGATAATAAATAGGGCTTGGAATGTACTTATTGCTGAAATTCAGATCCCGCGGCTGGTGGGCAACATTTTAGGCAGGCATGATGTAATGGGTATATACCAAGGTTACTCTGAGAAATATTTCAAAGGAAGTGAAATTTCAGCGAATTCTTGCTATAATATTAGCATAGGAAACGTGGGTTCATAGGAGTGCGTGCAGAATGAGCTCAATTTTCTTTTATTTTCGAAACTCGAATTTTCTATTTATACCAATTTTAATTAGTTCAAAACAACCGTGTTCTAATAGAGCAGTTCCAGGCAAAATAGCTAAAAAAAATCCGTATCGACCTCCTCCGATTTGTATGAAACTTTGCTTTCTCTTATACGAAGTTCTCTTCTACGAATTATCCTGGACTTCTACAAAATTCTCTTGACTTCTCTGAATTTCTGTAAAGACTCAGTTTTATAAATTTGAAATATTGAATACTTTCCCCCGTCTGAAAATGTTGAAAGTAGCAGTGAAGACATTTCGTCGGTCTTCTGAAGTTTTTTTTTTAAATACATCTGGCATCCCTGATCGATAGTGTATTGGGGCGGTGGTTTTTGTGCGTGAAGTTAGTTCCGAAATATTTGTGTTTTTGAAATGGGGTTATAGGATTTACGGTAGAGCTGTCACCTTCCAACTCCCGGATTCAAGCTTCTTACAGTCATAAGACATGATAGCAGGGAGACTTTATTCATAATACCACTTCCAGAATGTGGTCACACAACGTTTGCAGTCTCTCCTCCCCCTTAAAATGTGCAGGAATCCAATCGGTATCACATTGCACTAAGTACCTAATTCAAGAATGAAACATTTTTTTGCTGTTCACGCTACCTGCTACACCACGTGCTATGGAGCTTTTTTGTTTTCCGTCCGGTAAATTTTTCCCATTTTCACTTTTGACCGAGCTCGAGAACATCTAACCCCCCACCCTTTTCCGAAGGTGTACATTTTTCTCGCGTTTCGTTATAGTCTGCCTTCTGTGTCGATTTTTGCCATCATTGCCAGGTCGCAGCAGTTCAGCATCATATAATCGGTAATTACGTCTGGGGAACACACCGGTACCGTGTAACCTTCTTTGACGTGTGTTTGTCCCTTTTTTTGCCGCCACCATCCGTCCGTCGCCGTTGCCTTCGTGGAGGTGGTGGGTGTATTGAAAAATGATGATGGCAATAATGTTGTTGATGGCTTTCCTTCTTCATTTTCGATCGCTCGGCTTGGGGACGCAGTGAAAAATTGGCAGCGAAACAAAATTGGCACAATTGGGTACAAATATGTCAATTGCCGTCAGCTATGTGTTGTAGTCCGTGCCAATGACGAGGAAGGTGGAAGGCAGAGTGACGGATTTTTAATCCCATTATAGCTAGTTGTTTTTGCTTTTTATTTTTTTTCCGATAGATTTTCCGTTCGAGAGAAAAATGGTGATAATGCAATTATTTTTTTCCTTCCTGTGTATCCGTTTCAGTGGTCCGAGCTAGAGGAGATGAATACCGATGACGTGGAAGAGGAATTCAAGACTCGTTTGGCAAACATCGTTACTAATAAGTGCTGCTGTCTGGTGTACACCGTATGTAGATGCAGAAGGATTTTGAGACTGAGTAATGTAATTGGACTATTTTTCTTTCTGTTTGTTCTTCGTAGTCTGGAACCGTGGGTAATCCGAAGGGAGTGATGATGTCCCATGACAGTTTGACCTGGGATTCGTACAGTATCGGCAAACGGTTGGACCAGATCCAGTACGGAAAGGAAGTGTTGGTATCATTCCTGCCGTTAAGTCACATCGCCGCCCAGATGGTGGACATCTTCCTGTCCTTGCAGTTCGCCTGTACGGTATACTTTGCCGATAAGGACGCCATGAAGGGAACGCTGATCAATACACTCCAGGAAGCCAAGCCAACGCGAATGCTGGGTGTGCCTCGGGTGTACGAGAAGATTCAGGAGAAGATGTTGGCCATTGGAGCGCAGAGTGGGGCCGCCAAAAAGATGGTTTCTTCGTGGGCCAAGAGTGTTACGTTGCAACACCATATGGATGCCATGGACGGGTAAGAAGATTGATTGCTCTAAAGCAAGCAAGCATTAACAATTGCATTGTCCTAAAATTACAGCAAACCAACCAACTCCTGGCAGTATCGTTTCGTGAGAAACTTCCTGCTATCCAAGGTGAAGGATGCGTTGGGATTGAGCCGGTGCGTAACAATGGTCACTGCTGCCGCTCCGATGGATCCGGAGACGAAGAAGTACTTTATGAGCTTGGATTTGCCGATCATGGAGGCGTTCGGTATGTCGGAAACATGTGGAGCTCACTCGTTGACTACCGCCGATAGCTACAACTTTGCCACGATCGGAAAAAGCTTGGGTGGGTGTGAGACCAGGATTGACAAACCGGACGAACGTGGCCACGGGGAAATTTGCATGCGCGGTCGACACATTCTGATGGGATACGTCGGTGAAGAGGCAAAGACTAAGGAAGCTATCGATGAGGACGGATGGCTGCACTCGGGAGATGTGGGCTACATCGATGATCAGGGATTCATTTACATTACCGGTAGAATTAAGGTGAGTCTTGATTGTGACTTTTTTTTATAACCAGACCAATGAGATTTCTCGTTCGATAGGAACTAATCATTACCGCTGGCGGTGAGAACATTCCACCGGTGCACGTGGAAAACTTGGTCAAAAACGAGCTGATGCAGGTGAGCAACGCGTTCCTGGTCGGTGACAAGCGCAAGTTCCTGACGATGTTGATTACGCTGAAAACGCACATGAACCTGGACAGTGGCGAACCGAAGGACGAGCTTACGTCGGAGACGATTGGATGGCTTAAGGGCTTTGGAGTGGAGTACACCAAGCTGAGCCAGATCATCGCCGCTGGTCCGTGTCCGAAGGTATGTACCGATTCTGGGAATCATTAGATTGAGGTGACCACAATGAACCATCTGTCTCCTTTAATTTGATCTTTTGCAATCATGAAATGTGTTATGTAGGTAGTTTACGATTGCTTCACTGCCGGTAATCGCAAGTCAGTTCCATCTGCATTTTTATCAATTTTGAGTTAGCATCATTATTCAGTTTATCTTTCTATGTTTTTTGAGATGTGCTATTGGAAAAGGTGGTTTGTTCAAGAAAAATGAAAAACAATACCAAGTCAAATTGTCCCACAGCAAAAAGTAACCGCAAGTCAGTCCCATTAGAAAAAAAATACTAGTAATGTTAGACAACACATCGCATCATGAGATTTGTCTCAAGACAGATTTTGTTCACTTCCCCTAGGGAACATGTCCGTATGTCGCCAATATAGTTCTTACGATACTCAGTTTGACCGCCAATGGATATGGCTTTGAATTCTCATGTGATTTGATGTATCACTTGATGGATTTTGATCTTAAAAGGATTTACCACTTCCCAGGGGATACCAGAAACATGTCCGGGAGTGACCAACATGGTGCTGGTTACTCATCATGACTCTTATTGACCTTATTTTTGAATTCTCATTTGGCACGTTTATGAAAAGCTCTGGTCTGATGAAGCCCCATACTCACCGGAATATGTTCCGGCCATTGCTCTAGAACCAGCGGAACAAATCCAGAAACATAAAATAACGGTCTATGGGACCATGGTATCTTTCTACTGTTAAATACTGTGCTAAACTAATGCAGAATCGTTATGGAATTGTGACTGACTTGCGGTTATTTTTCTCATTGACGTTAAATGTAACCGCAAGTCAGTCCCACTCAGATGTTGGCCATAAAATAAAAATATCACGATATTTTTCCAATATGTTTAGGTCAACATATATGCATTCTATCACATTGTACGTTTATTTTTAAATTTATCCCTCGAAAATAAGTGTCAATTCAGAAAACTTGTAAAATCTTTGAAAGTCGTTTTCTCATTTCCAGTGTTTTACAGATGGGACTGACTTACTATTATGGACAGTTCGGTGGGTTTCATCTGGAGACAACTTTAGCTGATCCTGACATTGAGAAATATTGGAATTTTTTACTAATATTATGATCATTCAATATCATATATTGCAAGAGGCATTCGTACTTGTTGTATCCATAGATCGTTTAAGATTAGACAAAAATTTACTGAATGGGTATTATAAATGGATTGCTGCTGAATTGGATTATTAGATAATCTGTATCAAATCTTAGGCACGTTTTGATTTTTATAAAAATATTGGAAAAGATATCATAAATCCAAGAAAATTAGTTTTTTCCTGAACAAAAACTACATCATGGGTTTTGGCCAAACCTTGTGGTAGTTTGATTTGGTTTCATGAGAGGTCTGACATAGATCTTTATCACATTGAAAAAATGCACACTAATGTTGCCAGATCTGTGTAGATGAGGACCAACAGTTCATTTGATCCCGCTTTTAAGAGCATATTAACAGATTAATCAACACTCATTTGCTCTAAACTAATAATATATGATTAAGCACAGCATTTGATTTTTTAGTAAGAATGCTGGATTTTGTCACAATTGAAATCATCTGTTTTAGACGTAGGACTACCCAAGCAACATTGCAAGTTTTATAGTGGTTTTAAAGCATGCTACAGGTCTAAATCATTATCTACAGAACCCTCATAAAACCAAAATTGTTGCTTGGGTACGTTTCTGCGGACTATACTGGGGTAAAAATAAAAAAAGGTGTGACGAAATAGTGTCAGGTTTAGAACGGTTATAACACGGTCATTTACGACTGAAATTCATTTTTAATTACACCATTTTATACAGATTGAATGTAAGATTTGTTTGGCATAAAGATGATAGTTGTTTATCAATGGTTAACTATTGGAAGTTGATCAAAGTTTTTAGCCGTAATCAACCACTCACGTGCTCGCTTGTTATAACTATCGAGAGCAGATAGATGAACAACTCAAAACTCAATGTATTTTTTTCTTTGATTTTTGATTTTTGTGTGCACATGATTTTGGTACCAATGCTGCAAAGCTTGAAGCGAGGTTGGCAGCATCCTTCACCGGCGTGAAAAGCGAACGAATCCGCTCTCTTCTAGCAATGGGAACGGCGTAACCATCGCCATTTTTTTTCCGGGTGTACTGCATACTGGTTGGCTTGCAATAGCCGTTTTCCGGCGTCATCTTGCGACGCGCTGGGCTTGATTATCATGCTGCTGTTTCATTGGCACGTTTACGCGCCATTTGTTTCGTGTTTGCAAGTTCAAGTAAACTTGCCAGAACGCGAGAAGGTGGCGACACTTCACGCGACAGCACAAAACGAAACAAAATCGAAATGAGAACTCGAGCGAAAATACGGACTGAACTACTCACCAGTCGAGCGAAGAATGATCTGAGCAAAGGCAGGAAAACAGCGCTTTTTTATATCTTTTAAGGTTTAAGCAGAATGATGTGCCAACAAGTGGTACTCGTTTATGACGACTGGGTTTGGGTAAAACGTTTATTTCATGAAAACAGTGATAAAAGTATCATTTTCACATGTTTCAAAAGTTTGTTGATTGAAAATTGGAAACATATTTATTTATGCGGATTTGTTAAGTAATATCCTATCGATTGGCGTATTCAGATTTTAATTTCATCTATACATGACAAAGTTACAAGCGTTCAAAACCTAACACTATTTCACCACAAATATTTTTTTGATTTGCACCCCAGTATAGTCGACAAAGACGTAGTTCTACGTCAAAAGTCATGACTTCACTGTCATTCGATTCACTTGATCTGTTTTTATTTTATTTTCAATTCTAAACAAGAATATCACTGGTTAAAAAAGTTACAGCTGTTTTGCTGAAAATCAAAAAAAAATCACAATGCCATGCAGACGTAACTAGGCTTTTAAGCATTTAAGCAGATCTAGAATACTCAATAATGCCACTCTAGGCACCTTGACTGTCTTGCATTGCTAACGTATTTTTGAATCATTATTCAATCATAACTTTGCAACTGCAAACAATCAAAAATTCATCCATCCAAACAAGACCATATTGCATAGTTCACACTACAAAGGTTTGATGTTTGTTGGACACAACTAAATTAAGCGTCCATCAAGAGACGTACCAATCTACTTTGAAGTTAAATTATGTCAGAGTCAATTGGGTATAGCATCTGCTCAGAAAAAAAACACACTAACCTACTAGGTGAGAACTTAGGTTTAGGAGGTTAAATTTTGTCACAACCAACAACGTCTATTTAGTGTTTACTAAAAGACTAAAATTGCTTTATACCAACCCTCCGATCACAGCTCAACTCAGTGATGTGTCAAAACCCAGTGGAAGTTGATTTTTGACGTAGATTACGTCTTATGGGAAGGTACTGGGGGTAAATCGAAAAATTGCAACCGTCACGAAAAGGTGTAAGGTTTTGAACGCTTATAACTTTGTCATTTATAGATGAAATTAAAATTCAAATACATCAGCCGATAGGAAATAACTCTCACAATCTGCTACAGTTAATGTTTTTTTTCTCCAATTTTGCGCAAAAGAATCGTTGAAAAATGTACAAAAAAAGTGATAATTTTATCACTGTTTCAATTAAAAAGACGTTCTCCCCAAACCAAGTCATCATAATCGAGTACCATATGGTTGCGCATCGTTTTGCCTGAACCTGTAAAACTATATAAGAGCTCTGCTGTCGTTCCTCCGCTCAGAAGATGAAGCGCCAGGTCAATTTGGTAAATTAAAATGTTAAATCAATGTACTATCATAATCAACAGAATTCAACATAATTTTACTACTTCCTCCACTCATTAAAGCTTCGGACGGCGTGGCAAGCAGAAGCAGGAGCAAATCAGGAAAAGGTGGAATTTTTCCCTCTGCCTCTGCTGAACATTACCGCAGTAAGGCTAGAGCGCTGCTGTTGTGAATCCGGACGGACGGTGTGGAAAAATAGCAGCAGTCAGCGTGATCACCTTGATGACAACCAACGATGGGGTGGAGAGGATGTGGAATTTGTGGAGATCGAACAATTGGTCCTTTTCAGGACCACATATATTTTACAGAAAGAGTTATTGAAACTGTTTTCGGTCCCGTTCAAATAATATGAAATGCGACAAATGTTATTTTTATATAACAAACCCTTCCATTATTTTTTTTTTTCACTCGCCAAAAGAGCCAAAAATTCAAGTTAAGAGAAATTTTTCATGTCATGTATCCTGTACCCAGCGTTGCCAGGTCATTTTCAGAAAAATCTGGAACAGTTAAAATATAAAAACTGGAAAAAATCAGGAATGCTTCTAAAAATCCCGTGTTTAACATAATGCTATTGAAATCAAAGTTATGTGCCAATCTCCCGTAAAAATTGGTCAGTATGATCACCTGGAATTTATTGTAAGTACTAGAATGGTTATGAATTACATGTTTAAATAAAATATGTAAAGCAAATAACTTGTTAGCATTGCTTAAATCATCCAAAAGTTGAAAAGTATTGACACAGTGTGCCCAAAAAGTTTAAATATCCATTACGCAGCATTTCAAAAATTTAGTCAAATGTGTGTCACTGCAGAAAATATGTTTAGAATTGTTTTTTAAACAGTATCTTTTTTTTTAAAAAGAATGAGAAGCAAAGATTCAAGCAAATTTGATGAGATGGATTTGTTTTAACTAATAATAATCGATGTAGTCCTTACTATTTGATGCAATACCAAAATTTAAAGATTTTATTAGTTCTAAATAATTCTAATATTACCCTGAGGTTGATCAGATTTACAATTTAATTCTTGACATCATACAACACACAACACCCAGTAGACCAGTAGGCAATCTTATTTTGAAGTAAAATTCACCTGGCTGAAGTGGGAATCAAAGTCTAACATCGTGATACTCACACACAGTTTACCGAAACTACGGATAACTCCACTATTCACATGACCATTACAAATAATTTTATGCCAAAGAATAATTTTATTATATTACTAAAATGAAAGTCAGATAGCTTCATTTTGGAAGTCTCAGGATCTTGCATTGATTCCAAGTTCCGGAACTTATATTTTTTCTGGGTCCCAGATCATGACATTTTTTGTTAGTCTAATTTTACTTAGAACTCTTCACAGGATATTTTCGCCCTTTTTTTAGTTCCATTTGAATCATCCTAGAATTCCATAATACTTCTTTTCTATATTCCCCTAAAATAATCTTGATAATATCCAAACTTTTACAGTATTAGCATTACCCCTTTTAATCTCTTATAAATCACTCTCCAATTTCACAATTCCCTCAAACTGGTAATAATTCCCAAGAATTGGCGCAATTTTGTGTCCATTTTACTCTATGAAATTCTGAAAAAAAAAATCATAACGATTTCCTTGGTACACTCTTCAGAATGACCGTCACGCTCTTCTCAGACTCATCCGATAATTCCCTTTGAACTGCGTGGAAGGTAAAAATTGTTTTGAAATCCTCTTCAGTATTTCCTAATTATTCAAGTACTTTGCCAAAATGGGTTTGAATGTTTCCCAGAAATTGTGCATAATTCCGTTGAAATGTCTTAAAATTAATCTTTATAGGACAGAATTCCAGTGGAATTAATCTCACGATTCGTATCCGCATACTCCTTAAGTTTCATCATAAGAATTTTCTATGATTTCTCTTCCGGATTGTATTTCCTTTATTCACAAAATCTCCATGCAATTGTCATCAGAGTTGATAAGATAATTGACACCGTCTTCAACCAGAGGTTGCACATATTGTATATTTAACTCTAGACAACGGACTCTACTCAGAATTAGCTTGAAATTCTCGTTTGATGTCACAAGGAATTCACCTTACAGTCCACTACAGAACTATTTTCAGAATTACCTTAATTATGTAATGTCCAACGTTGATAGACGTTGAGTAGCAAGTTTTGCTTTTTATTGTTTGATTAGCTGGTAAATCAATTGCAGTGATATTTTTAAAGCAACATGTTGGAAAAATCTGGAACATATTTAAAAAAAAATCTGGAAATATACGTGGCAAGACGACTAAAAATCTGGAAAATCGGAATACTGGCAACGCTGGCTGTACCTCTCACAGCTACAAAATAGTGTAAAACATGTCTGGTACCTCTTTATATGCAATTAGATTAACATCTGAAGTCTACCCTTTTTTACATATTCTGCACAAAATATACTTTCTGTCACGCCCCATTCATAAAAAAAACGGTGGGAAATCCTGTCAGAGGTGAGGCTTAGACAGTAGTTTTTGTGCAGAATATGTCAAAAAGGAGAGACCTCGGATGTATTTTTTTGCAGAATATGTAAAAATGGAGAGATTTCGGATGTTGTATACAAATTACAGATGCATTATTGCAGGAACTGTCAAAATCTTATGAATTTACCCGCTAGTGTTCGTTAGATTCTGCTTGGCGAACTATATTTTGATGATTTTGGGCCGTCCCTGTGTTGAAGTGGGATCCAGAGGAACTGTAAAAAATTATTTACATCTTTAAGTAGAGCTTTACATTGTTGTTTGTTACAAAATTCATGCACCAAGTGGATTAGTGAGATTCTGGGTGGTGCTGTGTTTAGTTCGGTCCAACAAAAGTTAAACCTCTGAAAATGGGTTGGAGCGTCTTAAGTGTAATGCAAGAATGGCAAAAGGTTAAGAGATGTATTTCTGAATACTTGTAGTTTTAGTTTCTCATTATGTGCTTAATAGGCGGATAAATTCCTATGTTAAGCTATCCAATGAACATTTAGAATTATGATCCTGCTGGAATGGACGAATTTTTGATTGCTTGAAGCAGCAAATTATGATTAAATACTGAACATGGACCAAACTATCTAATTTTATGAAAACACAACTCTACATATCAAATTTACGATTATGCTGATGGAAAGAAAGTGACGGGGGCAATTCCAAGTAACCAACAAGCCTGCTTAGTAATGATCCGATTAATAATGTACCAAAGCCCTGTATTAGTCGTATGTTAGCTTTGTATAACAAAATCAATCTAAATTAGCGGGCTTATTGGTTACCTTCCAAGTAACCATTTGGGTTTTATACTTTACTGTACTGGTACTGAAGACCATGATTTAGAATTACAGAGTGCTTTAAAACCTCAATAAAACTTAAAATGTTACTTGGGTTGGGATGTGCAATACATGTTTGTGAAAGATTTCCCACCGGAGGTATCCCACTGCGATCAAGCGTTTGGTTAAACGTGTGATCCATATGAAATGTTCAACGGAGATGGGATGGGCATTGAAGTGTGCACGGGAAATATATTTTATAACGGAGGATTAAAGGCAAGTGTTTCAAGTGCGGAAACATCCTTAACGAAAATTTCAGAAACAGTCAGAAAAATAACTAATAAGGGTGAGGAAATTGACATGTCAAGGAAAGGAGAGGAAATGGAGAAAATTGACGAAATAAGTTACTTCTACTGTATTTTAAATCAATATCAAGAAAAATGCACGAGAAGTTCACTAAACATCTCAACGTAGTCTACGTCAACCATGCGGTCGTGTCCTGTACAGAAAGACAATTTTTTTGCTGATCATAAAAGTAGTTTCTGCTCAACTCAGCAACCACAAGTCCGCAACTCTATTTAAAATTTAACATTTTTAAAATTCATAACCATCCTCAATCTACACCGGGTAGAGTAAAGTGGGGATTGTGGCAAAATAGTTTGGGAATCTACTCATAATTGTAAAATATAATTTTATGTTTTGGTGAAAAAATATAGTACATGTATTTTAAAACTTAATGCGTACTCTTGCTCCACTTTACTCTTTATAAATTGTTGAAACTAGGGAGGTCAGTTATACTTTCAATTAATATTTTATTGTTAAGATAAAATTCACTAAATTTTAATTAAATTCCCCGACATCCTGGCTCATATTGCCCCACCAAATGCTGCAAAATGAAAATGAAAATGAATCATCCCTGAAAAGAATCATATGTATAATATTTATTCTATCTCATCACGAAAAAACGTTGGATTGATTGGAAGCTAATTTGAAACACTTTTCATAATTTCACACTGATTAAATTACAACTACAAAATCAGTACCAGGAAAAGCGTAACGTTATCCACAACGTCAAACATTTATGCTGAATGGAAGCAACACTTTAATAACTTGACTGGAGGCATCAAAAAGCCTTTGAGCAAACTTCAGTGCACTCGGAGTGCTCCTTGCAGTTACGGCTTCAATCTAAATGTATTCGAAACCATCTCAATTTCAGGTGCTGCAAGCCATCCAGGAAGGAATCGATCGTGCCAACAAGAAGTCCATCTCCAACGCCCAGAAGGTGCAGAAGTTTGCTCTGCTCCCGGCTGACTTTTCGGTGCCGGGAGGTGAACTCGGTAAGTCTCTGAAATTGGCCAATGGCACTTCCGAAAAACTTAATTTATTTCCTATTTTGAACAGGCCCAACCCTGAAGGTAAAACGAAACATCGTCCTCAAGAAGTACGACGACATCATCGAAAAGTTATACGCCTAAAGCACAGTGCCTGCTGTGAATTAACCTGATGACCGGATAAATCGCTACCAAAAAAAAAAAATGATGCTGCGCTGTTGATACCTATATATTTTTTTGTTTTGTTTAAAACTTTTATACTATTTTTTGTTTTCGTTTGTTTGCTAATGTGCATTGTTTATCAACGTGCTCTAGCAATGGGACTTAAAGACACTATTACTTTTCGTTAGCTTCGCCTTACCAAAACCGTAAATATAGAAACTATACACCTGAGTGGCCGCATCACACGTTTAGAATTAGTTGGTGATATTATTTAGCGGATCGTACGGAATATGTGAAACCGCTGTGGAGAAGAGCCTTGCCGGCAGCCACGAGGTGCATGTACGATATACGATTCGGATACGGCCTGCAATGGGCGCGGATGGCTAGATGGAAAACGAGACGGCTCCTGTAAATAAGAAGATTCCATTTTAGGATGTAATTATTACCTCATTAGAATCATATTGTTGTTAGATGAATGCGAGTGAGAGAAGCTTCCTCTGGATGATACGGCAGCGGATGGAGAGCGCGCGCGAAGAGCGAAGGTTAGCTGTTAATTGAATAAAATCAATTTTCTTATAAGTCATTCAAGCTTAATGGGGAAATAATGAGAACGGTCCTTGTCGAGCTGGGGGCCGACCGAACAGCCGAAAAGGAAAGAAGTGATTTAATGGGTTCAAAGTTTAGACACGTTGTAAGCATTGGCAGAGAGAACGAGTACGAGTAAGGCCCAGCCTCGGGATGATGGGGAAAGTTTTGTGCCTTTCGTAGCCTCAGCAGCAAAAGTGATGACTTGCACCCTATGACGCTGCTGGTAAAGTGGTGCATTTAAAATTCATCACATCAGCTCTTGCCGTCCGTTTCTTGGAAATCACTGTTCGATGTATATATGTGGAAGAACGTAGTCCGTCGTGCGTGAAGCATATCGGCTTCGGTGAACTTTTTGTTCGTCCCTGGCAGCTATTAGTGAAATATTAAACTTTGCTGCTTTCGAGAATCTTGGGTTTCTCCTTGGTTGGACAATAGTTTGCGGTAAGAGAAAGCTGGCGTTCCTTCTTTGGTCTTTTTGGTATTCTCCCGGTTTGCCTTCATCTGCGTTCCATTCTCCGCGTGCGGTTGTTTGAGTTGTGTAAACGAGCTGAGCATTATGGGTGGTTGGTTGGTTGGTATAATGGGAAAGAATGAAACTTTGCTGCTTGCATTAGATTTTCGGTTTCGAGACAAAGAGTAAGATGGTCTGACTTTTCCTGGGAAAACATATCGATAAAAGTTGCTATTTGAGACTTGTTTGGCAGGTTGTTAGTCGGCTATGTTGAATTGTCTATGTAGATTGAGAACTAAGAGCTACATGTAGGTACTTATCTACACATTTCCAGATAGATGCTATCATGATTTATGGGCAATGCTTTTGGGAAAGTACGCTTTATGACTAGGTTTTTTTTTCCAGATGTAGACTGTGCATGATTTGAGATACAAACGATACAAATGACTCTTATAAAACTCTCATTCCAGAAAGGCATCAGAGGCTGATTTCTGTGATGGTGATTGGAGAACTTTCGAAGTAAAGTGCTGCGAGCGATACTTGACGGGAAACTACTCGCCTACCAAACGGGATATAGGGCAGGGAACGGTGTAAGCAGGGGATATCCTATTGCATCTGATTCAATTAGTTAGTTGGGAATCCATAATTACATCCAGAAGAACGTGAACTGAATGCTGTGCCGAGAAGTACATAATTGAACATGATCGGTTCCTTCTTGTGAGAAAAAGTTATTACTTATCACTTTGTGGAATTGACCGAACTGTCGTGAGATGCGGGCATTCTGGTAAGATAGAAAGTAGATTGATGAAAATTATAAAGATTTCCAGTAAAAAGATGCGCTTATGAGAATTTACGAAGGAGATTGAGATTTGGATATGACGCCCCTTTTGGGATTGACCACCATTTGGTTCAAGTTGCACCAGTTAGCAAAGATTAGTTGGTTAGTTTAGTTTAGCTTCCCGAATAGCACACTATCGTCACCACAAGCTGCAGCAACCTTTTTATGACTGAAATAAGTCATATAGATGTTTCTACAACCGATTTGTAACATGCGTGCTACTAGGGTTTATTATAGAGGTTTTCTCGTTAGCGAAGGTATCGAACTGAAATTGAAGGAAGTATAAGTCACCGATTGAGCGAATCCGAGCCTAAATTTCATGATCATCTGTATTTGAAGGGCTTCAAAGACCAGATTCGTGCCTTAAGGTACGGAAAGAAGATCAACGGGCCTAATTGACTTCTTTGAGGTCTGCCTGATATAGCTGGATAAGTAGCAGATAATCACCAGCGGCAACCATAATCAGCTGCCTATCAGTGAGATATGAGCGAAACCATCGAAGGAGGTTGCCATTTACGCCAAGTCTATCTAACTTACCTGTCATTTAAAGCACATATAGGGTGTTCCAAAATGTCTAAGCACGATTAAAAAAAATATATATTATAACTCTGTTTGCAGCAAACTCGATTTTTATTTCATATTCATGTTCTCTAAAGTATCTTCTTAAAGTTCAACGTAGAAAATCCAAAATCTGATCTGTCGTAAGCCAAGGAGCGTATTTTTGATCTTACGCTACTCATTTCCAAGCTTTACATGTTTCCGCAAATATGCTTTGTTCAGGGCCCATACAATTGCGATTGGCCTGACCTGGGGACAGTTTGGTGGATTCATCTCCTTGAGTACGAATTAGACCTTGTTGGCTTTATATCAGGCTACCGTGTCCTTGGAGTAATTAATCGACGCCAAATCCGGCCAAAACAGTACTATAGGCGTCATGTTTGCGGATCATGGGTAACAGACGCTTATTCAAACACTCACGCACGTTGTCAGTGTCTCCGTTGTCACAACAAGTTTGGAAAGCATACCACACTCACAAATGGCTTGCCAAACCATAGCCATCGGTAAAAATCGACGCGTCGTCAACACTTCGGCCATCACAAACGGTTTAGTACTGATCATCCGGAAGAGTTTTGTAATCAAATATTACGTATGATTCATCGTTCATAATTACGCACACCAGTTTTTAACTTCTTCTGCTTCCAAACACTGTCATCAGAGAGTCGTTAGTAGACGAAACAAGTCGAAGTGGCATTCGCCTCCGATCTTCGGGCATGTGCGAATAGGGAGGATGCAATTGCGTAACATTTTGCACACTCATCGCCATATTCAGAATCACACAAAATACTCTCCAGAGTTGTAATATTGTAACCAAACTTCAAGCTGAACATTGCATTACTTACCTTTCACTGGTGAAAATTTCAGAGTGGTTGCGATTTGACCGAAAACGTGGATTTGGCGGGGATTTGTATTGCAGATTTAGTCTGGCGTAGATTAGATCCCCTTAGTTGAATTCAACTAAGTTTCAATATTAATTATTTGAAGACTCAACCCCGCTCACTTCAAGGACAATTTTTCAAATAGATAAGTGCATTCGCAAACAATGAAATTTTGTACTCAGGGATTTTTGGGGCCGGGAAAGGTTCTTATGATGGTTAGAGACCCCTCCCCCTCTGTAAGCGAGGGCTTGCTTTTTTAATATGTGCATAAACTCAAGCTAATATTGAATCCTGAGCAAGGCCGGGCACACTCAGCTAGTGCTTAATAAAATCTTTAGAAAAAGTTTTCCTTAGTTGTCAGATGGTTTTAAGATGTATACTCGTTCGGAGCTCGTTGGACATTTTTGAAGCTCTCCGACCCTCTTCGATGCTGAAGTATGAAGTTCACAGATCCTCTCTAAAGTTCCGTAAAACGGGGAAAGGTTGATGATTTTTCACAGCACACAATCACTATTCTGTACAAGCAAATTTAGTTATAATGTACGAAAGTAGTTTTGAAATTGAATACTTATGGTTTATTTTTTAGTATTAAAATAAGATTTAACATGCAAATTGATCATGTAGGTTTTTATGCAATACAATATAGAGAAGTTCTAGATAAAGCTGGAATTAGAGTGTAACAGCTTTTGTGAACAATGACTTCTCTCGATGATTTCTAAAAAGTCAAGGCTCGCCCATGCAAACCATCATCTTCATCGAATAGGGGAAGACTTACCCTACCCGGTGGTTTTATTGGTTTGCGTGGACGTGCCTTGAATTCCTAGAAGACATTGTTTACAAAAGCTGTTACACCCTAATTCCAGCTCTATTTAGAGTTAGCATTTATCCTTGATTTGTGTTTACTGAAGATGAATCTGGTTTAAAATTTCAAGAAAAGTTGTTTACGAAAAATCTGCATATTTTGAGGCAAAATAGTTTTAAAAAAACGCCTAAATGTAGGCAATTAACATATGCTTTCCACATAAAAACTCCTTAATTAACTTTTAAGCAAATCATCTTATAACAATATCACGAAAACAGATTGTTGAGAAATGGAAATTGAACGGTGTACTAATCAATTTCACCTCAATGATCAACTTCACTTTTATGATCAACTTCACCTCGTTTTACGGTACTTTTAAGATCTTCGAAGTTCACTAAACCTGTCTGTAGTTCATCGAACTTCTCATAAGTTCTCCAAGTTTCATATATTTTCATTAGTTTCTTAATAATCTCAGAAGTTCTACATAAAACTTCAGAGTTGACTATAGTAATCTCCAGCGAAGTCTAGCAAATTTTTGAAAAATATCCTGAACTTCTTAAAAGATCAGTGGATTTCAGAGATTTTCAGCAAAATTGTAACAGAAACAGGGATCATTATTGTAGTTTAAGGAATATCAATAGGACTCAATGATCACCTCAGAGATGCTTGGGAGAATTTCAGAGACCTTTTAAATCTTCAAGAAGACTCTTCGGAGACGTTAAAGTGATCCTCAGGGAAGCTAGTTTGTCAACTTATTTGTAGTTCAAATGAACCACAGAATTTCTCAGAAATAAGTTTCTCCAGAAAAGTTATGAGAACTTAAAGAAAAATCTAAGGAATCTTGAAATGCTTTTATTAAGGAAATTAAAGAACCTCCGAAAAGATCAGAGTACTTTAGGTTCAGAATATCTAAACAAAATTCAAGAAATCTAAGAAAAGCTTTGAAAACATAAAAGTAGCTCAAAAAACCTCAAAGAAGATCAGAAAATTCTGGAGAAGTTCAAGAAAGGCTTAAATTATTTTTCTTTAGTGTAGATGGGGCATGTTTATTCATAAAAATTTATACAAATTGCCAGGTAAACTAGAATAAGCATCTTTATATTCACACGACTCAATGTCATATCTCATTTCATTTGTCCATAAATCAGTTCTTTGAAATGCAGCTTCGATATCGTTTGATTTGAAAAAACTGAGCTTTCGCGCGGATTTGGCACGAATTTAATACAAGGTTGGTGCGGACTTGGAGTGAATTTTATTTCAAATATCTCGTAACAATTCTGGACACGATATCTAATAAACGACAAACAAGCTTTACCAATGCTAATTTATTTGTTCCACAATCGTTGATACCTATCTTGCTCTATTTGACAAGTAAATAATATCGGAAATGTGCCAGCTCCAGTGCCAACCAATATATCATATCGAAACAATGGGAGTGTCATCTAGATAAAATACATCCACAAATATCGAATACACTTTATTCTTCCCGTCAGTAGGTAATGGCCTAAACCTCTCCATGTAGGATTTATGCACGGAGCAGCCGGAGCTTCTGAGGCACCTAGTATCCATGTTCATTTTGGAACAAAAACAGCTATGATAAATCTTCTCGGGGCGTCGAAAATTTACTGCTTCCCAACACTCACTGCTACTGCTACTGCTATTTACCAGACCACCTCTCCCGACCAAGCTTCAGTGATTCCAAATTAATTTAACCTAAATTGTTTCTAAAACTCAGTGTGGCACCGACGGCTGAAACCAAACTGGCTGGGTGTGACTGTTGGAAAAATTCGATTTACTACCATGTTGGCACTGGCTGGAGCTACAGGGCGAGGTCCAGAGTTATTGTTGCTGGCTCCTGGCTGCGTTGTTGTTGTTGTTGATGATGTTGGTCGGAGCCGGTTGAAGCGGTAAAACATGCTTCTCGCCATCGATCTCGTCGGCTTCATTAAACTCCAACTGCAGCCATTTCCAGGATCCAGGTTGGGGTGGGGAATCCAGAGGGAAATATTGTGTGCACAATTTCAGGATTGCCGCGTCCCGCCACGGGCAGTTGACAACGCGACGAAAGTGGATCCCGGGTCGTTCCGTTTGCGTTGTTGGCCACGGTCCAGGCACGTATTTGTACACACCAGTGATGGTGCACGAAAATGGTTGTTGACATCGGTCCAGGTTTCCGGGAATGGTGATGCCATGGAGTGTGTGTGTGTGTGTGTGTGTGTGTGTGTGTGTGTGTGTGTGTGTGTGTGTGTGTTGTGTGTGTGTGTATGTGTATGTGTGTGTGAGTTGACCACACCGGTTTGTGTTCCGTGGGTGCGGGTGGCGGTTGTGTGTAGTTGGTTGGTGTTGCAGGGCAGCACGAAAGGAAACGAGAGAAGAACGGTTTGAGAGTGTTGGAGTTGGTTTTTTTTCGGATCGTGGAAACTGCGAGTACCGGAGATTATCATCATCACCGTTGGGAGTGGGTTTTACAACAGTGCTTTTGTTTGTTGGAATTCAAGGAAGTGGGAAAATGGGGAATATATTCAATTTTGTCGGTACACAGAACGATGTGTAAAAAGCATACACGTTTGTTTGCTGCCAAATTGAAGATGATTGTAATGGGTGAGGGTTGAGATGTATAGGATTGTTATTTTTTGTGTGTGAAGTGGGTATGAGAAGCAAGGAAGGATTAAAAACAATGTCAATGTTGAGCCTTTTGTCGTGGAACCAACTTCTCCATGTGCAAGCCAGGAATAAGCTGTTTACTATTTTTCAAACACTCAGATAACTCTAACAAACAAATTGAGGTGAATAAAATCTAGAGAACCACATTTTGGCTGAATAAGCTTTAATTCAGTTACAAATGAAACAATAAACAGGCTAAAGAACGTTTGCCCTTAATAGTAGGAAATGCACATTCTCACATTTTGATGATGATGATGATGATGATGACCAAGGATTGAGCTAGATGATTTATCTCCAAAATAATGTAATGAATTCACTTATTTCTGGCTTGCACAAAGTCGAATCGATTTCATCTACTGACGTGAAGTTTGAAAAGACCGTTGGTGCCAAGGAGAGATGCATATATTATGTCACGCTGTAAGGGGGGTCTAAGATTTTGTGACAAGCAACGGAAAAACGTGACGATACGATAAGGGATGTGATAAGAGTGTGCCATAATCAATGCATGTTCCCCAAACCATAAATATTCGCAATCGATGATCATACTCAGCGATCAAGTAAATTTCCATCATAATGCCTATAGCACTAGGGGAAATGTATCTATATTGGCCATTAGCATCGAACAAGTTGCACAATATCGTAGGTGGTACGAATTCAAAACTATTAAGAGCAAGACGGATATCTATTACTGGACAGATAGTAAGTAGGAAATAATTACTATCTCCCAGATAAAGACATATCCCGCTCCAATAGTTAAGGATTGTCCTGCTGGCCACGTCCTTACAACTGGTAGGGATAGGAAAGGTATGTTAGTCCAACATTTACTTAAGAGAGAAGCAGAGAACTCTACGACCCCTCATAAATGTCTCGGGAATTTAGGAATTATGTTAGTAGAGGAAACTTATTTTGACCACGCACTTAGAAATAACTAATTTTGCACGTGACGGAATCCATCTTTGTCATAAAAGATCAGACGTAAACACATATTTCATGTTAAATTAAGTGCTCCGAGACTGAACAGTTCGTTACTCGACGAAAAGTACGTTTGATTAAGTTGAATTTCGCGTCTGTTATGACTCAATTTTATGTCAAAATTGACGGTCGTATAATATACGTATGTCAGTCTCATAGCACCTAAATTTGCATGATTTTTTCTAAGCGTGCATGTTTTGGTGCTATATTTAACGTTTTTTACAAGTTTGAGCTCTTGAGTTCTGTTAAGATTGATATGGTATTTGTGAAGGGTAAATCATCATTAAATATTTCTAAATATCATCGATCAAATTGAAGTATTTTCAAAAACTAATACATGTACAAGAGCATTTTGTACTGAACAATGGTTGTCCTACGGATAGGTTGTTTTTAATGATATTCCAAAGCATTACACTCATTCCTCTAACTTTTGACGTAGGACTACGTCTGTGATTTCTATGTAGTATTTCTATTACTTTGTGAAAACCGAAAATGGAACATGTATCAAAATGATGAAAGATTTTGAACGTTAATAACTCAGCTGCCCCTGGACCAATTTGAATAATTTTATCACCAATCGATCAGAAATATTTCTACGCATCTGATAAATTTAAGACTCAATCATTTTAAAAATGTCACTATTGAAAATTGCACGAATGTACAATTGTTGCTGTTGCTGTTGATAGTTAAAATTATCACCGATTGCCTGCGAAAAGCAATTTCCCTAACACAGATTGGCGCGTGGCGTTGAACATTGGTCTCCGGTACACAACGAAAGGCTGCCTGCAAGCAGCGAGCTGCAGCCCACATAAGTATCCATAGAAGAAGACAGAAGCCACACCGCTATTGATCGGAATCAGTAGCTCTTTGTGAGTCGCTGTGGGCCATCTATGTCAAGCGTGCAGGGCTGGAAAGCGCCTCAGAGCGTTAGCAAAGCAACTTTGTGCATGCATCTCACATCACTCGACAAAGAGTGTGTAGTTCTCCCATTTACTTCGAACACTCTTTTCCACCTAACCTGCGAGAAAGCTATCCACACAATGAGTGGTACACTCCGTGCGGCGCAGGGAGCGAATATAATACAACAAGCGCTAATGTCTTCTTTGAATTCTTTGCAGACTTTGCTTACCACGACTGCATGCAAAGAAGAATTTTGTCTTTTTACTGTGTTTTCCATTTGCAACCCTACACTGAGTGGCGCTCTTTGAGTCGGTGCCGTAGGAGCAATGGCTACACATTGAGCTTTCGTTATTTCTGGGGGTGTGTTTGTCTTCTCTTCTCCGCTGCTTTACACTTGCGCAGGGTGAAAAACAAGCCAACTTTGTGTTTGTTTGTTTCTCACTTTGTTTATTTCAGAAAATCAGTATATTGCGCGCATTGAGTGATCAGATGACAGCCCTGTAAGCGCGTCATACTAAAGAGTATAAACAGAGAGAACCCAGCTCAAATTCCTATTACTACACAAAACAAAAGCTTTTGCTGCAGTTAACAAATAAGATTTATTATTTAAGACCACGTAGTCCTACGTCACCATTGCGTGCAACCCCATAGGACTGTCCCTTGTAGTTTTTATTTCATAAAAAAATGGTTCATTATGCTTCTCCCTTCTCTTTCATGAATCTACGAATGTAAATAAACAATGGAAGAGTCAGGATCGAATTGTACGAAAAATCCCGTGTCACTTTTCAAATGGACCAATGTAACATATCCACTGAATAAAAACTTTAAAAATTCAGTAGAAACAGTAAAATCACAATTTTGCTTTGAATTTCATGCTACAATATAGATAAAACCAGATAGGACGTTCTGACTAGTCAAGTTGTGCATCGGCCATTGGACGATTTTTGTCAATGACATAATCAATGAGCGTATTTAACTTAATATTGGCCCCGCCTTTAGAAAATGAGCACCAATCATGTTACTTACCTTACCAATCAGGCTAAAACCGTGTTGTTCTCTGCTGTCCGAAGAAGTCGTCTCCACTCTACTCGATCCATGGCCACACTTCGCCAGCCTCGTAGTCTGCGAAGGGTCGATCCACCTTGCCTGCCACGCGCCTCTTCTTCTTCTTCCTGTTGGGTCACTTTCTAGAGCCATTTTCACTGGGTCGTCGTGCGACATTCTTACGACGTGTCCAGCCCGCCGTAATCGCCCAATTTTTGCAATGTGGACGATGGATGGTTCTCCCAGCAGCTGGTGCAATTCGTGGTTCATTCGCCTCCTCCACGTTCCGTCATCCATCTGCAAAACACCAAGGGTGCGTTGGTCCTCCACGAGCATAGTCCAGGTCTCGTGGTCGTAGAGGACCACCGGTCTAATCAGCGTCTTGTAGACAGTCAACTTCGTGCGGCGGCGAATTTTATTCAACCGGAGCGTCCTCCGGAGTCCAAAGTAGGCACGATTTCCTGCCATAATGCGTCGTAGAATTTCTCTGCTAGTATCATTTTTGGCGGTCACCAGTGAGCCCAAATACACGAACTCATCGACCACCTCGATTTCGTCACCGTCAATCTGAACTCGGGTTGGGAGGCTAACATTGTTTTCCCTAGAACCTATTCCTTTCATGTATTTTGTCTTTGATGCTATGTCCAATCCGCTTAGCTACAGCCTTCAGTCTGATGTACGTTTCCGCCATCGTCTCAAAGTTCCGTGCCATGATGTCAATGTCATCGGCGAAGCCAAGAAGCTGGATGGACTTCCTGAAGATCGTGCAACTCGTGTCTATCCCAGCTCTTCTGATCACACCTTCTAAAGCGATGTTGAATTGCAGACACGATAGTCCATCACCTTGCCGTAACCCCCTTAGAGATTCAAAGGGACTCGAGAGTGTCCCCGATACTCGAACAACGCACATCACTCGATCCATCGACGCCTTGACCAATCGCGTCAGTTTATCCGGAAATCAGTACTCGTGCATAATCTGCCATAGCTGATCTCGATCGATTGTGTTGTATGCGGATTTGAAATCGATGAACAAATGATGTGTGGGCACGTTGTATTCGCGGCATTTCTGCAGAACCTGCCGAATCGCGAAAATTTGTTCCGTGGTAGCGCGGGCATCCATGAATCCCGCCTTGTATTGCCCCACGAACTCTCTTGCAAATGGTGACAGGCAGCGGCATAGAATTTGGGAGAGTACCTTGTAGGCGGCGCTCAGCAGTGTGATCGCGCGGTAGTTGCAGCAATCCAACTTGTCACCCTTTTTGTAGATTGGGCATACGACACCTTCCATCCACTCCTCCGGTAATATCTCCTCCTCCCAAATCTTGGCAATTACGCTGCACTGGGCTCTAGCCAGTGCTTCACCACCGTATTTTAAT